CAAAAATCGCTATGTCATGAAAGCGTATGTTTCTGCAAAGCAGGCTCGTGTAACTTAGCTCTGCGCAAGATGGCTGTGCGCAACTTGGCACGCTACTACCTGGCGAGCGCAAGCTACTGTACGCGAGTGGCTCTGCGCAACTTGGCTCTATAAAGCGTAGCTCTGCGCGAGTCTGCTCAGCGCAATGTGCTTTGCTCAAGTTGCGCTGCATGGTTTCTCACGAAAGTGGTCTGCGCAAGCTGCACTGTTCCAGGCTGCTTTCGGGCAAGTTGCTCTCTGCACGCTGCTGCGCGCAAGTGCTCTGTGCAGGTTGCTCTGCGCAAGTGCTCTGAGCAAGTTGCTCTGCGCAAGTGCTCTGCGCCAGTTGCTCCGTGCGAGCGCTTTGCGCATGTGCTCTGTGCAAGTTGGTCTGTGCAAGGTGCTCTGCGCAAGTGCTTTGTGCAAGTGCTCTGTGCAATTCGCTGAGCGCAAGTTGCCCTGTGCAAGTGACTCTGCGCAAGTTGCTCTGCGCAAGTGCTGCCGGAGCTGCGGGGGTGTGCTCCGCGTACTACGTCTGTACTTAAAAATTGCGATTTTCCAACCGGAGCTGCACGAGCACGCTCCGCGTACTACGTTTGTGCTTAAAAGCTGCGATTTTCAAGCCGGAGCTGCGGGGGTGTGCTCCGCGTACTACGTTTGTACTAAAAGTTGCGATTTTCCAGCCTGAGCTGCGGGAGCACGCTCCGCACACTACATCTGTACTTAAAAGTTACGATTTTCCAGCCGGAGCTGCAGGAGCACGCTCCGCGTACTACGTTTGTACTTAAAAGCTGCGATTTTCAAACCGGAGCTGCCGCGGACCAGGGGGGAATCGAACCCGCGACCGCGGGATTGCGAAAGCAAGCGCGCAAACCACGAGACAACTTCCAGAGGCCGTTTCGCGAGCAAGAATATTGCACGGCGCCACAGCGAGAGCGGGTTCGCCGAGACTAAGACAAATTCGCACGGCGCCACAGCGAGAGCGCTTCGACGCGCACGATCTCCGCAGAGGGTCGCGCGCGGCTTGCAGAAATCGTAAAAAGTCCTCAGTTTTTGAACCTCGACCACGCGAATCTCCGCAGAGGGTCGCGCGCGCATGCTAAAATCGTAAAAAGTCCTCAGTTTTTGAACCTCGACCACGCGAATCTCCGCAGAGGGTCGCGCGCGCATGCTAAAAATCGTAAAAAGTCCCCAGTTTTTGAACCTCGACCACGCGAATCTCCGCAGAGGGTCGCGCGCGCACCGCAGAAATCGTAAAAAGTCCTCAGTTTTTGAACCTCGACCACGCGAATCTCCGCAGAGGGTCGCGCGCGGCCAGCAAAAATCGTAAAAAGTCCTCAGTTTTTGAACCTCGACCACGCGAATCTCCGCAGAGGGTCGCGCGGGCATGCTAAAAATCGTAAAAAGTCCTCAGTTTTTTGACCTCGACCACGCGAATCTCCGCAGAGGGTTGCGCGCGCATGCTAAAAATCGTAAAAAGTCCTCAGTTTTTGAACCTCGACCACGCGAATCTCCGCAGAGGGTCGCAATCCCGAGCGACGATCAAACTCCCGCCCCGGCGCCTTAGAAACCTAAACTAACTTACATAGCTGCTAACGCCGAAGCTCTAAGCTCTACCTAACCTTGGCTCTATGTAACTTGGCTCTATGTAACTTGGCTCTATGTAACTTGGCTCTATGTAACTTGGCTCTATGTAACTTGGCTCTATGTAACTTGGCTCTATGTAACTTGGCTCTATGTAACTTGGCTCTATGTAACTTGGCTCTATGTAACTTGGCTCTATGTAACTTGGCTCTATGTAACTTGGCTCTATGTAACTTGGCTCTATGTAACTTGGCTCTATGTAACTTGGCTCTATGTAACTTGGCTCTATGTAACTTGGCTCTATGTAACTTGGCTCTATGTAACTTGGCTCTATGTAACTTGGCTCTATGTAACTTGGCTCTATGTAACTTGGCTCTATGTAACTTGGCTCTATGTAACTTGGCTCTATGTAACTTGGCTCTATGTAACTTGGCTCTATGTAACTTGGCTCTATGTAACTTGGCTCTATGTAACTTGGCTCTATGTAACTTGGCTCTATGTAACTTGGCTTGGCTCTATGTAACTTGGCTCTATGTAACTTGGCTCTATGTAACTTGGCTCTATGTAACTTGGCTCTATGTAACTTGGCTCTATGTAACTTGGCTCTATGTAACTTGGCTCTATGTAACTTGGCTCTATGTAACTTGGCTCTATGTAACTTGGCTCTATGTAACTTGGCTCTATGTAACTTGGCTCTATGTAACTTGGCTCTATGTAACTTGGCTCTATGTAACTTGGCTCTATGTAACTTGGCTCTATGTAACTTGGCTCTATGTAACTTGGCTCTATGTAACTTGGCTCTATGTAACTTGGCTCTATGTAACTTGGCTCTATGTAACTTGGCTCTATGTAACTTGGCTCTATGTAACTTGGCTCTATGTAACTTGGCTCTATGGCTCTATGTAACTTGGCTCTATGTAACTTGGCTCTATGTAACTTGGCTCTATGTAACTTGGCTCTATGTAACTTGTCCAAGGGCTCCGCACGGAAGAACCCTTCGCGATGCTTTCGGGAATAATATTCAATCAAAATGAAAGCGAACTATTAAAAACACCTATCACTTTTTTGCACATGCAGTTGTCTTCATGAGTTTTGCGCAATGTCTCACTTCAAACCTTCAGCTGGGCTTGTAAGAGCGGGATATGGTAGGAAGTGAAAGAGGAAGTAGATAGGTGAAACGCGCGTCATATCATGTGTTCCCCAAAATAAAAGCCAATGTGGTCGAATGGCCTTCTAGAACAGAGGGTGCTAATCACGGGACGGGGAAGAGCTAGCGAGGCATGCTCTTCTCTCTTCACACCTTAGAACCAAGAAAAAGATGACAGGCTGAAAAACGGATGCCTGACTGAAAAAGCGGATGCGCGTTTGGACAAACGGATGCCCAACGCACGCTCAACTGAAACCACGGACGCTCAACTAAAAACAGAGGCCCAACAGAAAAGGGATGCCCCCGCGGCTGAAAAACGGACACTCCCAACCGAAAAACGGATACCCCAAAGTGAAAAACGCATACCCCCAACCAAAAACCGGATGCCCGACTAAAAGACGGATGCCGGCAACTGATGCCCCGCCAAAAAAATCGGATGCCCAACTGACAACCCCAACTGCAAAACGCATGTCTTCCTCACACATGGTCTTCAATTGCTTGAGTGAGTTTTACCTTGGACTTGCGGATCTGCTGGAATGTAGCTCTCTTTCACGTAAGAGTCCGAGCTCTTCTGAACACTGCCGGCCACACCATTAAGCGGCTCGAGGGACCGGTTCCGCATCCACGCCGTGTTGGGGACCTTCTTGGCCTCCTCAAGCAAGACCATCGCCTCGTCCAGGGCCTTGCCGGTCTGCATGGGCTTGTCTTGGAGGTAGGCCTCCAAAATTTGCAGAACCTTTCTGAGGGTTCCTCTGCCTCCGGGATGGACTGCGTGCCCTTCTCCTGGAGGCTGGAGCGCGGCCTCCGTGTTCTCCAAGCATCTCGTCAACAGTCTCTTCAGCTCCACTTGCTGGAGCAGCCTGGCCTGCGCCGCAGCAGCCTGATCGATCTGCGGGCGTAGGCCTCGAACTCTTGGTTCTCGTGGTCCGCCATGTGATACTGGGTCTTCGCCGTGTCCTCCCTGCGTGTCTCCCATCGTGACCTCCTGCATCGTGGACGTGCGCGGAGGGGCCCTTCCCAGGGCTGTGGCAGCCACACCCTTAGACGGGCTTGCCAGGTCGGAGGCGGCTCGCGCCATCGGCAAGAGCATGCCCTGGTCCACGTCGGCTTGGTTCCATGGGCCGTGGTGCTCATGCAGGCCCAGCAGTTCGCTGCAGTGGATGGCCGCGCACATGCGGTGGGCCTCTATGGCTGTCCGCCACCAGGGCGACCATCTTGGCCATCGGGGGCCTCAAATCCTCCACCTCCGTCATGGCACGTCCGCCAGGGAGAACCTCTGCCGGCTCCCCACCAGGGCCGGAGGCGCCAACCGGACTCGGCCCCGACTTCGCCTCGAAGGACCTTGAGGCGTGCCAGGCAAGCCTCCAGCTCGGACATTGTTTCGGGGAGGGAGTCCGTCGTGGGAGCGTCCCCGCAGCACGGTGTCCCTCCAGCCCCATCTCCGCAAGCTTGATCTCCAGAGGCTCTGATCCTCCACAAGCTCAAACGAGGTTGCTGAGGTAGAGGATGCCATTGCGAAATGAAAGGGAGCGGGAGCGAAGGTGAAAGCTTATTAAGTTTTGGACCGGTTGGTGCGAGCTTGAGCCAAAATGGCAAGTGCCATTTTGGTCAAGAATTTCTCACACAAGCCATGTTTCCACATGTTCCAACATTAGCAAATAGAAACACGGCTGCCCAGCTAAAAAACGGATGCCCCCAAATGAAAAGCGGATGCCCTCGACTGAAAAACGGATGTTCTCAGCTGTAAAACGGATGCACCGACTGAAAAACGGATGCCCTCAACATCCCTCAGCTGAAAAACAGGATGTCCCCGACTGAAAAACGGATGCTCTCAACTGAAAAACGCGCGCCATCAACTAACAAACAAATGCCCAACTGAAACGCGGATGCCCCCAACTGAACTGAAAAACGGATGCCCTCGACTGAAGAACGGATTCCCTCGACTGAAGAACGGATGCCCTGAACTGAAAGAATGATGCCCTCAACTGAAAAGCGGACGCCCTCCACTCAAAAACGGATGCCCCAACTGAAACACGGATGCCCAACTGAAAATCGGATGCCCAACTGAGCAGAGTCTTTTTTTGGGTACATAAAAAGGGGAACTCTGCGGAGCCTCCGCGAGCTGCACGTTTACAGGGTTTCAGCCTACGCGGAGGCTGTTACGCAAAAAGGCCGCGGCTGGCATAGATGGTGTAACCCCAACGGTAACCCCGGGTCGCGACGACGGTCGCGACGACGGTCGCGATGGCGCCTCCGAGGTTTGGCCTCCCAGAGCCGCAGCCCGTTCTCGGCGAGCGGCAGGACAGTGAAGACCTGCGACCTTCGTGAGCAGCTCTGCGACGCGACGAAACGGAAAATCCATTTTTTCCCCGAAAGCATGGCGAATGTTCTCATGAGAGTCATTACAAGGTGTCATTGCAAGGAACCATCATCATGAAAGTCATTGCAAGGAGTCATTGCAAGGAGTCATTGCAAGGAGTCATTGCAAGGAGTCATTGCAAGGCGTCATTGCAAGGAGTCATTGCAAGGAGTCATTGCAAGGAGTCATTGCAAGGAGTCATTGCAAGGAGTCATTGCAAGGATTGCAAGGAGTCATTGCAAGGAGTCATTGCAAGGAGTCATTGCAAGGAGTCATTGCAAGGAGTCATTGCAAGGAGTCATTGCAAGGAGTCATTGCAAGGAGTCATTGCAAGGAGTCATTGCAAGGAGTCATTGCAAGGAGTCATTGCAAGGAGTCATTGCAAGGAGTCATTGCAAGGAGTCATTGCAAGGAGTCATTGCAAGGAGTCATGCAAGGAGTCATTGCAAGGAGTCATTGCAAGGAGTCATTGCAAGGAGTCATTGCAAGGAGTCATTGCAAGGAGTCATTGCAAGGAGTCATTGCAAGGAGTCATTGCAAGGAGTCATTGCAAGGAGTCATTGCAAGGAGTCATTGCAAGGAGTCATTGCAAGGAGTCATTGCAAGGAGTCATTGCTCATTGCAAGGAGTCATTGCAAGGAGTCATTGCAAGAGTCATTGCAAGGAGTCATTGCAAGGAGTCATTGCAAGGAGTCATTGCAAGGAGTCATTGCAAGGAGTCATTGCAAGGAGTCATTGCAAGGAGTCATTGCAAGGAGTCATTGCAAGGAGTCATTGCAAGGAGTCATTGCAAGGAGTCATTGCAAGGAGTCATTGCAAGGAGTCATTGCAAGGAGTCATTGCAAGGAGTCATTGCAAGGAGTCATTGCAAGGAGTCATTGCAAGGAGTCATTGCAAGGAGTCATTGCAAGGAGTCATTGCAAGGAGTCATTGCAAGGAGTCATTGCAAGGAGTCATTGCAAGGAGTCATTGCAAGGAGTCATTGCAAGGAGTCATGGCAAGGAGTCATTGCAAGGAGTCATTGCAAGGAGTCATTGCAAGGAGTCATTGCAAGGAGTCATTGCAAGGAGTCATGGCAAGGAGTCATTGCAAGGAGTCATGCAAGGAGTCATGCAAGGAGTCATTGCAAGGAGTCATTGCAAGGAGTCATTGCAAGGAGTCATTGCAAGGAGTCATTGCAAGGAGTCATTGCAAGCAAGCAAGGAGTCATTGCAAGGAGTCATTGCAAGGAGTCATTGCAAGGAGTCATTGCAAGGAGTCATTGCAAGGAGTCATTGCAAGGAGTCATTGCAAGGAGTCATTGCAAGGAGTCATTGCAAGGAGTCATTGCAAGGAGTCATTGCAAGGAGTCATTGCAAGGAGTCATTGCAAGGAGTCATTGCAAGGAGTCATTGCAAGGAGTCATTGCAAGGAGTCATTGCAAGGAGTCATTGCAAGGAGTCATTGCAAGGAGTCATTGCAAGGAGTCATTGCAAGGAGTCATTGCAAGGAGTCATTGCAAGGAGTCATTGCAAGGAGTCATTGCAAGGAGTCATTGCATTGCAAGGAGTCATTGCAAGGAGTCATTGCAAGGAGTCATTGCAAGGAGTCATTGCAAGGAGTCATTGCAAGGAGTCATTGCAAGGAGTCATTGCAAGGAGTCATTGCAAGGAGTCATTGCAAGGAGTCATTGCAAGGAGTCATTGCAAGGAGTCATTGCAAGGAGTCATTGCAAGGAGTCATTGCAAGGAGTCAGAGAGCATTGCGAGTGCATGGAGTCAAGTGCAAGTTGCAAGTGTAAGGAGTCGAGTGCAAGTTGCAAGTGCAAGGAGTCAAGTGCAATTGACTTGCGAGGAGTTAAAATCTCTTCTCAGGGCGGCGGGGTAGTGCCGACGACACTACACGAAAATCGACCCTCTGCGGGGATCGGCGTGGTCGAGGTGCAAAAACCCATGGTTTTTTGCGATTTCTAACATGCTCGCGCGACCCTCTGCGGGGATCGGCGTGGTCGAGGTGCAAAAACCCATGGTTTTTCCGATTTCCAACATGCCCGCGCGACCCTCTGCGGGGATCGGCGTGGTCGAGGTGCAAAAACCCATGGTTTTTTGCGATTTCCAACATGCCCGCGCGACCCTCTGCGGGGATCGGCGTGGTCGAGGTGCAAAAAACAATGGTTTTTTTGCGATTTCTGCGGTGCCCACGCAACCCTCTGCGGGGATCGGCGTGGTCGAGGTGCAAAAACCCATGGTTGTTTGCGATTTCTGCGCTGCTCGCGCGACCCTCTGCGGGGATCGGCGTGGTCGAGGTGCAAAAACTCGAGGTTTTTTGCGACTTTTGTTGTTCGAACTGGTCCTCGGGAGTTGTCTCGTGGTTCGCGCGCCTGCTCCCGGAACCGGCGGGTCGCGGGTTCGATTCCTCCCTGGTCCGCGGGCGGGCGTCGCAAGATGCAACTTGCATTTTAAAGCAACTTGCGCAGAGCAACTTGCGCAGAGCAAGTTGCACAGAGCAACTTGCGCAGACCAACTTGCACCGACCAGTTTGCGCAGAGCGCCTTGCCTAGAGCAACTTGCGCAGAGCAACTTACGCAGAGCAACTTGCACAGAGCAACTTGCACAGAGCAGCTTGCACAGAGCAACTTGCAGGGAGCGCAACTTGCACAGAGCAACTTGCAGGGAGCCACTTGCAGGGACCAACTTGCCGGAGCAACTTGCGCGGAGCAACTTGCGCAGAGCAACTTGCACAGTGCAACTTGCGTAGAGCAACTTGCGCAGACCAACTTGCACCGACCAGTTTGCGCAGAGCACCTTGCCTGGTGCTGTCTCGCGCTTGCTTCACGAAGTGTAGGGAAAAAGAACACCGTGGTCTAGTTTAGATATTTCGCATATTCGACTTTCGATGTCTCAAGCCCATTGCAGCAAAGGCTCAAGAGATCCCAAACCGGCTCAGCTTCACCTGAGCACAGAGTCACCAGTCTCATGGTTGAACAACCGCAGACTTGCACTGTTGCACAGCCGTTTGCGCGCGTCGGAAGTCTATGACTTCTTCGGCCAGCCGCCGTCGCAGTGTGTCAATGTGTGCAAGGGGACAAAGGGACAAGGAGACACACTGGCAAAGGGACTGGCGATCGAGTCCCACTTCTCGTGCAGGCACTCAGCCCTCGGCACTTCCCGACATGGCATCGGTAGTCAGTCTCGAGTCCCAACTCCTCGACTGCAAGCAACATGACTGATCAAGCAGCAATTCGAAAGAGCCGCACGATCAAATTTGCCAGCGCAAGGGCAGCAGAAAGGGTGCCTTGGCAACGCTCCACAAACTTCAAACTACGCAAGCGCAGGGCCTGCCTAGTCATGATTGTCATCATGACTGCTGCATCGTCATAAGTGTGATCATCTCTTTATGATCTTAGATATTTTGTTTGATATATTTTTGGCACCCTTGGTGATGCAACACGATGATAGTTATCATCAGAGGCATATCATCATCATTTGGGTTGCATGATGATAACTATCATCGTAGCATCTCCTACATCCCTAGCAACGTATTATAAGTGTCATCATCCGTGTCACGATGATCATCCTCATCATCTCTTTTGCACGATGATAGTTATCATCATTATGATGGCGATGCCAAGGACGTTGTGACGATAGCTATCATCATGAAGGTGATCATCATCATCATCATCAGCATCATCATCATCATCATCATCCATCATCATCCATCATCATCCATCATCATAGTATGCATGACGACGACGATGCTAAGGGGTCATCCCTGCTGGTGATGTTGGGAGTGCGTAGTGATGATTCATCATCAGTATCGGCAGCAGCAGCACAATCATGCCTCATCATCATCGTCATCCTTATCCTTGGTGATAGTCATTATGCATCCCCAGCATCACCAGCAGTCATGCTGATAATTATGAGTTCGGATTTTTGCATGTCAAGTCCTCACTAACGGCACACTTGAAACGTATATCAAAAAGATAGGGACGACGATGCTGAGGATGATGAGCACCATGATGATGATGATGATGATGATGATGATGATGATGCTCATGCTCATGCCTGTCATCATCAGCGGGGTGAGTGGTGACAAGTCTCATCATCCGTGCTGGTGATGTTGGGGATGCGTAATGCTGCTTCATCATCATCAGCAGCATCAGCATCATCATGCATCATCATGCATCATCGTCATCCTCATCTTTTGCCTAGTGATTCGTGATCATTATCATCATCTTCCGCTTCATCTTCATCTTCATCTTCATCATGATCTTCATCTTCATCATGATCATCACCATGCAGCATCATCTGCTCTGGGTTCTACTTGGACTGTCCATGCAGCATCCTGCATGGACGAGACATGGATGACAATTTTGGGCTGGGCCCGCAGGACTGCAAGATACGGTCAGGTGTTCTGACGTGGAATCCTTCTCCACTTCAGCCATCTGGGGTCGGCGGCACTGAGCGGCCCTTTCAACTTGACACTTCGAAGACTTTGTGTTTTCTTTTCTCAGCGGCAGAAGAACTTGTTCTTGGTGAAGAGGTCAGGATCGATGGCTTGAGGCGCTGGAGCCACGGCGACCTCGTCGTTTGACATATTGCGAGGGCCCTGAGGGCTCGTGAACACGCGCGTCCGCGCGCTGGCCTTTGGCCTGAACACTTCACGCTCATCAGGAAAGAGCTTCACTTCCTCCTCCTAGCGCAGCGAAGCTGGAAGCGTGGAAGCAGCTGCCAGCGGCCAGCTGCAAACAGAATTTATTCAAAACGCAAAGCTTCTGAGACCAAGTCCGAGCTCTCGCTGATTGAAGACTTGTCTAAGCTATCTCTGCGACTTCTGTCTGTGCTCTCTCTGCGGCTGCCTAGCGAGCGGACGCAATGGCACTAAGACAGGGCCCAAGTCTACGGTCTGTCATGCACAATGCTCTGAGGTATGGGACAAGCCTGTCCGAGCGGACCTGGACGATCTCTCCATCCTCACGAAAGCCGTGCCGCAGAATTTGAACACGCCCGAAATGCCAAATCTGTCCTATGGCATCTCGAACTCAGGCTCCATGGCCCACAGATCACGATGCAAAGCGGCTTCGCGGGAACTCAAGGAATGACACACCTCTCAAGATCCTGCAATTGGCATGTGTGAGGTTGCCAGAGGTGGGTAGAGATGAAGCTCTGATTTGAGTGCTGGCTGGAAGCAAGTATGGCACTTGCAAAACGTGTACGCTTCACCATGTATCTATCACGCTGCATTGGAGCCGAATCCAGCAACCTTCTTTTAGCCTGGCAAAAAGCTTGACTGACCTGACTTGACTGATCTGACAATTGTCAGACTCTGAGAGCCCGACCATGTACTCTATGTGGCGCTTCAGCCGCGCAGGCCGGTTGCCTTTCCAGCCACACTCTTGGAGAGCACAGGTGTATGTCTGTGGATGCTATTCCTTTCGGCGCTTTGAAAAAAACAGCTTCAAGAAAATGTGACGAGATCTCCGGCGGCTTCGTGAGGTTGTAAGCATCGGCAACACTAGCGACACAAATTGCAGAGTGTGGCCTTCTAGAAGAGATCACGACAAACAATTCTAGGTTCACCATTTGCCCACTGCCTAACCCATCCCACAAACGCGAAAACTTGTCATCATCCTGCTCTCTCCTGTCAGAAAATATAATCCGTTCAATTCGGGTAATCATCGAGGCGTTAGATTCAGCGCCTTGTGCCTTCTCAAAGCAAGCATAACTCGACCTTCAGTGCACCCACTACAAGTGGACATCCTCCACCAACACACGGTTGCCAAGGGAAGGTTTTCCTCAAGAGTTTGCTGGCGAACCCCGTGAGTCAAAGTAGACACACTTTCGCATATTGAAGGTGCCGGGACTAAGTTTAAGTCCCCGGGCACGCAGGAAAGACAGCGGCACAATGAGGGTGTCTTGAGCTACTGTCCAGTTGGAGGTGTTCACTACAACTCGACAACTTGAATGGTCTTAAACCAGCAATGTGCCACGATAGAACTTCGGGAGGCAGCATGCCCGCCCCGCCCTTCACCCCCAACGCAACACCAATGCAAGCAGGCACGCAATCAACATTCAAGGGTGAAACAAACTGACAACAAGTGTAACTGGCTTGCAGCTCTTAGAACTGAGGGTAGCACTTCGATGCCGTGGACTTTGTTCATCTCCATGTCGTCATGTTTCCTCAGGATGCAAAGACCTAAACACGCGTGTTGTACTGCTCCTCGAGCCTCGCCAATGCCTGTTTTGCCTCTCCGCCTGACTCAGTCTCCCATCCCAGAGCATGCCAAATCCCGGCCACATCGTGGCACAGTTCGGACAGTTCGTGAAGTGCCAGGAGCAAAACCACTAAAGGCACACGGGCTGAAGCAACGATCCAGATTCCAAAACGAGGCCCGCGAGCTTTTTGGCCTCGGCGATCTCGGCGTTGAGAACGGTGACTCGCATCCCTCGCTTCCGCATCTCGCGTTCGCGGCCCATCGCGGCCCTTCGCGGCCCTTCGGCCGGCTCCGTGAACCTCAGAGAAGGCGCATCCCGTCTGCGCACAAAGACGCACTCAGAATCAGCAAGCTAAGCCGGCGAACGGTGCCATAGTGGAGAATGCTACGGAGATCCAGGAGAAAAGAACAAGTAAAGCTCGAAGCTTTGCGTTCAAAGCTAAAGTGAGAGAGCTCCCTCACAACATATGTACAATATATATATATAATTATAATATAATATATATATAGAATATATCTAAATACAGATACACATTCTATATATTGCGCGCGGAGCCGCAGCGCCTTTCTTTTTGCGACTTCCGGGCAACTTGGCGCGTGTCGGCATGAGATCCCCGCTCGGAGATGTCTCAGAACTGCACCACTGATCTCTGGGAGATCTCCGGCAATTCCTCACTTGCGACTTTGCGACTGAGAATTGAGGCGCTTGAGGCGCTTGAGGCGCTTGAGGCGCGGAGGTTGGGAGCACCAACTGAGATAAGCCACTGTTGGGCGCCCGAAAGCTGATGGCTTTGAAAAGTCAATGTAGGGCGTTCTGCTCGACACGCGGTCCGACCTTACTGTGACTGCTTGTCGCCAGCAGAATGGATTGTCTTTGCTAAATTCAGGTCAACTGAGGGTAAAAACCCGACAGTGCTGTTGAGGCGCCAATCTTGACATCGTCCTGACCTTGCCAGGTAAATCACAGCCTAAGCGCATCTGGGAGCGCTCTTGTGGCTTTGAACCTGGCTCTGAGTCTCTGAGAAGCCAGCAGCCAGCAGAATGGCAGCGACGGCCACTTTGCCGATCACATGCGATTGACGAGTTGGACGAGTTGGACACTGAACGTCCAGCTGCGGAGGCACCCAGCCGCCAATGCCTCAGCTGTAACGTGTTTCTTTGGCGCAGTATGGCGCAGCGCAGTCCATCCGAGCGGCAACGGTCGCCAGGAACACGTCGGTACATGTCAACTTTGAAGTAGCCCAGCTGGGAACCTGGAAAGTGCCACTAGTCAACTAGTCAACTTTGAAAGTGCCACTCCAGTGCATGAGGACATGCTGCGCAATGGGCCTTGGGCACTGGGGGCGGCACACTCGTGCTCCTGCATGGGCCCGAAGTCCGCGCGAGGGGGAGGCATTTCATTTGCCACACAGGTCCGCTGGTTAAGCGCGCGCTCAAAGTCCATCTCGCACTCAAAGTCCTCCTCGGTGCATGGGCACACCTCCGAGATGACTGGCAGCCTCTCTTTCAGGCGGTTGAAGCATTTGGACATCTGCTTTCCTTGGCAAGCGAGAGGGGATTACAAACGCAGCCGTGTGAAGCCGTGTGAAGCCGTGTGAAGCCGTGTAAACCCGAAATTGGAGTGTTCGCCGTGTCCCAGCTAACTTGTAGCAAGGAGTCGTCTGACATACCGAACTTGCTGTCCCAGCAAACAGCCGCAGGAGACCAGATTTTGACAATCTCGGTTTGCCGTTCCATCAGAAGGAGCCCAAGATTCATAGTCCTTGCAGGAGCTGGCCAGCACGCGCCCCACTTCACAATCGGCCCTCATTGAGCAAAGCGTCTGAGTTGGCAGTGCTCGGCTCGGACGGTTTTTTGCAGGATTGCCACCCCAAGACATCAAAGTCAAGGCGATAGACAACGCCTGCACCTGTCAACTGAAACCATCGACAGAGACTGTCATTTGTAGAGGCCTTGCCTCCAATACTGCCAAAGGCCAGAAACTCGGTCGACACAGCAGTTGGCTCGATTAGGATGTTGGTGACCTGGGCCAGCACAACACTTCTTGCACGACATTGCAGGTCCGAAAGCAGCTAGCGGCTCTGCGCAAAGTTCTCTGAGCAAGTTCATCTGCGAAACTCTCGAAGTGAGTTCGCTAAGCAAGTCCTCTGCGCAAGTGGCTGAGCAAGTCCTCTGAACAATCGAGTTCTCTGCACGCAACTCTGACCCCACGGCAGCCGTCATTTTCGTTCGGACCTGCGAAAGTGCACCAATTCTGATTTCCAACTTGAAGTTGCTATTTTCGGGCCGGGCGAAAGTGCGCTTTGGGCATTTGTTGTCCAAAGGTCTAACTTACATTCGAGCACAATCCTCAGGGTTTGAGCTTGTTCCCCCCCAATCCCCGCGTAACAATTCGCGATGACCGGATAAAGAAGCAAACACGTCGAGTTATTTGAGCAGAGCGAGAAGTAGCAAAGCCTTGACTTGTTGCCCCCCCCCCCACCCACCCGCTGCGATGCATGCCCTGGCATTTCATAGTCGCCAGTAGGCCCCACGGGCCATGACATTCACAGCACAGTCCAAGAGCAGATCTTGGATGAATTGAAATCACAAATGGTGTATGACATTCTCATGGTTCTTAATCTCAAGACCCGAGGCAAGCTTTTGCGAGGGACCTCGGCCAAGCCTGAGGCACTGAGGCCGCTGCATTTAGCAGCACGGTATCCAGTTTGACGCTTTGCCATGTCTTGCCCTCGTCCAACGAGTATATTGCTGAGTCAGTGGGCGAGTTCACGGCCGCCATCACAAGCACGGCCCCGTGGTTTCCAAACTCGTAGATGTAGACCTCGGCTAAAGTCGTGGCTTCAGTTGCTAAAGTCGTAGCTACCGGCGGGTTGGCTACGGGTTCCCAATGCCCCGACGCATTCCGATCGCTTGAGCGAGGGGCGCCCTTGCGAACCTCTGACCAGGTGAGGCCGCCATCGCGGGAAAGGTAGGTGTTCGAATCCTCCGCGTTGTAGCCTCAGGACTCACACATCTTACGCATCTTACTCATCTTGCATCTTCAATCCCATGAAACTTGATGACTCAATGCAGTCGGCTGGCTCAAATGGGATCCGACATTTCCAGCTGCCATAATGATCCCCACAGCCTTGTCATAGGAATAAAATGGCACCTAAGCAAGGCCCAAAGGGCTGTTGTCTGAAGTTAACAAGAATCTAAGATGCGATATGCAGCGAGCCACGAAATGATCTTGGAAAGTTGCATCTGGCAGGGAGCGCGGCTTGCAAGGTGCTTTGCCACGCGCGACATGCACGCTGTGTGCCATATGCAACTTGCACTCGCTGTCGGCATTCACACCCGGGCCATGAAGGTGCAGCGAGCAGTTCTTGGAGCAGCTGATTGGGTTGCCCACTGAGTCCTAGCGCACGTGACTGACGTGTTGAGGCTGACGCGTGAGGCCTCTGACGTGCTTCTGACCCTCACATGCTCCTTGCTGGGTGGCTTCAGCTTTGACCAAGCACCCCCGACATTGAAGGAGATCACACTTTGGACAGACCTCGTGCTTTCACGCCGTTCACGCCTTTCAAGCCTTTCATTCGTGTGATCGAACCCCTCTCAACCCCATAAGCTTCGGGCAAGGCTGGCCTCTCTGCCAAACGTCGCTGTGACAGAGTTGGCGAGGGCCGAGCCTGATGGGCTCTGGTTCTGCAAAAGTCGGAGATGGAGTCAGAGCATGGCAAAGGGAGGGTGGCAAAGCGTTGACTGGCAGTGTTTGCGCACCCACCTTCAGGTAGCGAATGGACTGCTCTGATTGGGACTGTGTGGAGTCATCCCCAAGCTGGTAGTCACCCTCGCCCGGCCAAACAGAGGAGCATACTTTCGGTCCAAGCAAAGCGGTTCCCAAGCTAGGCATCAAGCATGGTCCAACCAGCTTGCTGCAAAGTGTGCGGGGAGTCCTGAAGAGGCGCAAGTGCCCCTGCCATATTTGCGTTGACGGCACCTGCGCCTGCATCCTCTGACCAAACATTTGCCTCGGAAGGCTTCCCATGCCCAACACTGCGCCCATTTAGACGAGCAGCAAAATAGATTCCTTTCAAGTTGGAGATTTTCTCAAAGGCGGCATGCCCATTGACTCCAACGTTGTGCTGCAACGATAGGACATATCTTGTTCCTGACTCATCCTAGGCGCAGGCTTGATCCGGCATGCACAGGTCCTTCCGCTTGAAAATAATAGTGCAACTAGAGTCTACAAGTCGATTTGCCTCGCCAAACTCAGCCAAAGGATCAGAAACGTAGACATTGCCGAGGCCTTCTCCGTGATTGACGTGCATCACGACCAACCCTGCCACAACAACACATGATGGACATGGCATGGCATGGCTGCACGCCCCGATGCCTTCAGATGCGTCAAGAATGGTGTACGACTTCTCCGCAAGCTGAGTGGGAATGATGGCCTCGCTGAATTTGCTACTGGAGTCTCTGGCGTTTAATTCGGAAGGGCGCCTGAAGTAGATGTAAGATGGAAAGCTGAGCTGCTCAAAATGCAGAGCTGGCCGATCCTAATCCACAGTCCTTATAGGGAAGCCACTACAAAGGGGACCCATTGCGCAACCCAAATAAGGATTGAGGATTACCTTTGATCAGCCCAGCAAACACAAAATAAAACCCAATCGATCTAATGGAATACAGGCTTCAGGTTGTCTCTTTGTAGCACTTTGATGGACCCCCACCTGGCGGAAAACAGTGCCGTCCTTGCTTACCATGAGCCTCACGTTCTGCTTTCCAGCATCCTCCAACTTCGCTATGAGGACGAACTGCTCAGAGATCACGAACTTGTTACCTTTCTCCACGTGGACAGCAGTGCCTCAAGCACTGAGCCTTCTCAGCATACTTTGCATGCGCAAGGCTCATATCGCACAAGTTTGCATGTTGAGTTCGGAGCTTTTGCCCATGTCGTCTGTGGACACGAAATCAACCCCTTCCATCCATTTGCCTTGGTAGCCGGCAAACTGCAAAATCTCAATTCAGAAAGCCAAATTTCCGAACCCGAAACTTGCGCAGTCGCATCGCCTTTGTCTTTTCCACGGAAGCGTTATAAACGCAAGTGTTGCCGAAGGAAGTGTAGCAAGAACTTCCGTAGCGCTCGCTGGATTTGGTTGAGCTACTCTTTTCTTTGAAACTCGGTACTTGTTTGTTCATCGGCTACCTAGATGAGCTTGCCCACAAAGTGTGAAGATCGTTGGATCAAATTGCAAGCAGTATCCGCGTGGATCCACAAACAAGGCGAAGATTCGACCTCTCTAGTCAAGGCTACTGAGGCTCAAGACGAAGAAGATCAACTATGTTCCCAAGATCTACACTATCAAAACAGTTCAGGAGACTCTGTGGCCATCTCGTTGCACGGCGAAAGCTCAACTTGTTAGGGTATTCCGACCCTTTCAATACATGGGGTTGTAAGAAAACCCCGTGACCTTTTAATTGACCCTCAACACCGTTATCCTTTTTTTCTTCCTTATCGTTTTACAGGTAATTGGAAGCGTCGGTGTTGGATGACAAATTCTGTACTAGTAATAGCAGCAGCAGCAGCAGCAGCAGTAGTAGTAGTTGTAGTAGTAGTAGTAGTCGTCGGAGTAGTACTAGCCTCTTATAAAGCTCCTTACAAAGCTTCTTCTGAAGCTTCTTATAAAGCTTCTTCTAAGCTTCTTATAGAGCTCCTTACAACGCTTCTTCTAAAGCTTCTTATAAAGCTCTTTACAACGCTTTTTATAAAGCTTCTTAAAAAAGCTTCTTATGAAGCTTCTTTATAAAGCTCCTTATAAAGCTTCTTCTAAAGCTTCTTATAAAGCTTCTTATAAAGCACTAGTCCTAGTAGTAGTAGTTGTGGCGGCGGCGGTGGTAATAATATTTGTAGTAGAAGTAGTAATAGTAATAGAAGTAGTTGTAGTCGTAGTAGTAATACTAATAGTAATAATAGTAATAGTAGTATGAATCTAAATAATATTTGTAGTAGTAGCAGCAAGAGTAGTAGTAGCAGCAGCAGCAGTAGTAGCAGTAGTATTACTGTAGTAGTAGTAGTAATAGGAGTGGTAATAGTGGTGGTGGTGGTGGCGGTGGGAATAAGAGTTGTAGCAGTAGTAGTAGTAACAGTAGTAGTAGTAGTAGCAGTAGTAGTAGTAGTAATAAGGTAACAGTAGTAGTAGTAGTCGTAGTAGAAGTAGTAGTAATAGTGGTAGTAATACTGATAGTAGAAGTAGTAGTAGTAGTAGTAGCAGTACGACCACTAGTAGTAGTAGTAGTAGTAGTAGTAGCAATACAGAAGGGGTCGTCATGGGGGCTGAGTTTTTCAGATTCCTGGGGGCTGAGTTTTTCAGATTCCTGGGGGCTGAGTTTTTTTCAGCAAAAAACCAAAAACCAAAGAAACCAAAAAAACACCATCTGCATCTTCTAGTTCAGGGCCATGGGTCTGGTTGTTTGTGGTTTTTGCTTTTTTTTGTTTTTTGTTTTTGTTTTTTTTGGTTTTTTTGATGCCTTTGCTCATAAACACCAAGAAAACAAAAAACACAGCCCATCACCTGCATCTGCTAGTTCAGGGCCATGGGTCTGTTTTTTGTATTTTTGGTTTTTTGTTTTTTTGGCGCCTTTGCTCATAAACACCAAGAAAACAAGAAAACACAACCCATCATCTGAAGACAATACTTTGTTGATGCTTTCTTGATGCAAGACATCAATAATATGATGAGATGTGTATCAACAGCACATAAGCCTCTTCCAAGATATTCTGCAGGTAACTCCAGGTATAATATGATGAGATGTGTATCAACAGAACATAAGCCTCTTCCAAGATATTCTGCAGGTAACTCCAGGTAACTGGAGATAATTTATCTCATCTCTCATTTCATCTTCTGCAGGTAACATCTCATCACAAGCAATTGCTTGTGGCTTGTGTCTACTTGAATCTATTCTGAACAGCTTTACTGTTGCAAGAGCTCTTCAGCAACACGAATAGCTGCAGAGAATCTTATTCCAAAGCTCTTATTCCAAAGCTGAACAGCTTTATGCAGAGAATGGTATTTGCATCTGCAGATATCGTTGCAGGTGCTCATCTTTGCATCCTGTGCTTCTTGATGCGATAAATATGTTTGTGTTAGCTGTCTTTTCTCAAGAGCATGGGCAGAGCCCATGCGTATATTGTAAAATATTGAACATCCAACTGTAAAAAGAGATGAGTCTTGCAGCTGAAAGCTGCATAGATCAGTGATATCTTACCTTTCTTATGATTTCATATGCGTGGCAAGCTGCGCTTGCCATACTTACGTGTTTCAGAATTGCAACACAACAGCAATATTTGTCCCAAACATACATCTGCTTGCAGATTGCTAAGCATGCGTCTTCCAAAATATTGCATACGTATGCAACTTGTGTTGAAGATTTGTGCCAAACATACGTCTTCCAAAAGTTAGCACCCTGAGGTTTATAAACTTGGCATGCGTAAGCGTGCCAATTATCCAAAAATAAGCTACAGACACACGTTTGCTAAATATTTGTGTCCAACAATGATATTTGTGCAAAATAGTTCTCAACAGGCTGTCTTCTGTGCAGATTGAAGCTAGCTCATTTTCCAGGTCTGGATGCATCTGAGTCTTCATTGGATCGAAAATGAATCTGTGCTTGCATCTAAGAGGTCACGGGTCTTGATCGTATATTTTTGGTATTTTTTTAGTGTTTTTAACGGAAAAACTCAGCCCCCAGGAATCTGAAAAACTCAGCCCCCAGGAATCTGAAAAACTCAGCCCCCATGCCGACCCGCCCTCTAGCAATAGTCGTGGTGGTGGCAGTCGTTGTAGTAGTAATAGTACTAGTAGCAGTAGTAGTAGTAGTAGCAGCAGTAGGAAAGCAATCGAAATAGAAATCGCAATAGTAGCTGGATAAATTGCTCAAATGGTCCTGTGGTGGCTTCAGGCACTTCGGGGCTGCTCCAGACATGTTTCGAACTGTTTCGGACTGCTTTTTGAACCCTGCGGTTTTGAAGCTTGACGCGGCGCCCCTGTCTCTTGTACTAGTAGTAGCATTAGAAGTAGTAGTAGCAAAAGTAGTAGTAGTCGTAGTAGTGGTAGTAGTAGTAGAAGTAGTAATAGTATTAGTAGTATACGTGGTAGTAGTAGTAGTAGTACTAGATGTTATCGCTTTTTTGTATCGTTTTACAGGCGTTTCGCCATGCACCTCCCCCTCCAAACGAAGCCTTACATAATGTAAAGGCGCGGGGTATTCATACAACCCCACATATTCTCGGTCGCTCAAACGCACCGGACCCAGCCTTGGCTCAAATGTCTAAAGGCAGGCCCTGTTCGACTGATGCAGTTAAGGACCACTGTCGAAACACAATTGAGCACGCGTTGGGACGGGTGCCGGGCGACTGAGCATGGGCTGACTGTTGCTCTTGTCTCGGAAGTGGGTGAAGTATATCCGATCCGAGTGATGTCCACGGCCCCAACTAAACTGCACAACGTGCCTGGAGACCATCTTTAGGCGAGTTCTGCCCAGGTCCTGACGGACGGACTGGGATCGATAACGAAACGCTGCCAATCCAAGTCCTTGGTCGCCAGGAGTTGGTGTGTGCAGGGGCTGCCGGGCACTTTCAGTCTGCAGTCGGCTGTCCAGGCAGACAGCAAGGCCCATTCCGGTCTCGTGGGATGGAACATGAAGGAAATTCCTCGATTGCAGAGTGTGCGGCGTGTGGGATTCAAAAGGACAAAAGGAGCCTAATGTCACAAAGCAACTCCAAAAATGCGTTGAAGCACAACAGATTAAACGAAACGTGAAAGGCCCGGCTGTGCCGGGCACATTGGGCGGCTGCCTCCTCTGAGTCTCGTATGGCCTCGGGAGTGGTTACCTCGTGCCACGAGTTCCCGGAGTCGGAGCTTGCGAAGACCTCCAGCCGAGTTCCAACCGCCACCGCCTTAGATCGCAATCCCGCAATCCCGCAATCCGATGTCTCCGATGTCGAAACTTGGAGTTTCAGACTTTGCTGCCATTGGATGCAGTTGAATCAAGCTGCAAGCCGAGCTGCAATGGTGCTGTCCGCCGGACTCATTATGGCTCTGGCCACCTTGACTCCAGCGCGCAAGGACTTCTCCGCAAAGCTTTGCCCTCGGTCAGCGCTGCGGTAGAGAGTTCCTCAGTGAGTTCTCAAGTCGCCTCTGATCTGTCAGATCTGTCAGAGAGAATTCGTAACCCGAAATCATTGAAATCATCATCTGTTCTTCTCCGGGTGGCCATGGCCAGTGTTGAGAATCACAATCTCACGGTCAGCCCCCAGCCACAGAATGTCCACGATCTCGCTGTCAAAGGTTGACTTTTTGATAGACGGATCTGCCACGACACTCAAGATCAGGAATGCCAGCTTCGCCATTGAGCCGAATGAGCACATGCCAGTATCTCACTGTGTTCGGATGTGTGATGTGTTGGCTCCCGCATTTCCGGCCGTGGGCTGTCCATGATGTCATTCCAAGTTGTGAGTCGTGCTTCATTGGAAACGGACGTCTGCAAGACCAAACAGGTTTAGGTTGGCTTGAGCGTGCTGCGCAAACCGCTCCATGTCTCGGGGCCAAAGGAAATGGGACTCTCCCGGGTGCACGACGATGGCAGACCGAGTCAGCGGCCCCAGGCCAACTTTGCCACTCTCTCGGCAACGCAAATGAATCGGCCCTAACGCATTTAAGCCCGTTTTGCTTTGCTTTCCAGGGAACTGCCTGTACCATGTATTCCGCTGTGAAGGCCGCACAAAGGCGCAAGGGAAGAGTGCATCATCATTATCCTAGCTCCTGCTGGGGTCCTCATCATCGTCCCAGAAATCCATATCCGGCACGGCTTGCAACGCATCATGATCATTCATTGACATCATCATCATCATCATCATCATCATCATCATCATCATCATCATCATCATCATCATCATCATCATCATCATCATCATCATCTTCATCGCATCCCGACAACTTTGATGATAACTATCACCATAGCATCCCTTGCATGGCAAGTCGGGCCTAACGTGGCAGTTGACATGTATATATGATGTATGTAGAAGAAAGAAACAATGATGACGACTATCATCATAGCATCCTTGCATTTCAAGTGGCGCGAGCAAACTGCTTATCATCATCACTGCGGCTAGCGTCATCGGCTTACGCCACTTGCCAGGAATGGTTCTCACGGAGTCATAATGATGATGATAAAATGATGCTGATGTTGATGGGAGTGATAATGATAATGATGATGACAATGCTGCGCCACTTGCAATGCCGGGGATGCTCTGCTGGTAGTTCTCAGCGATCATGACTATCATTGTTATCAACATCATCATCGTGGTTATCATCAGTGTCTTTTTGCGCCACTTCCAATGCAAGGAATGCTATGATGATAGTTATCATCATCATCATCACCATCATCATCCTAGTCTGTCATCACTGTCTCTTTCTTATCTTTTGCATATTATCATACCTTTTTCAGGTGTCATGTTGGACCTGACTTGCAATGCAAGGGATGCTGGGATGATAGGCATCATCACAGTTGTCGTCATCAGCAAAATCATCATTGTGTAGCTACCATCATCGTCCGCTGCCGAACAATTCGAGAAGTGATGCGCTCACAGCTAAAGCCAGTTGTAGGCGGCTCAGGGCGGCAGCCCTTACATTCTGAGATCTTGGCGCTGGCACCAAAGCCACGCCAACCTATTTGCATTTCACAGCTTGGTTTGCATGGCCTTTCAATATTGCGGTTTTGGGCGAAGATGAAGTAGCCCAGGGAATCAAATGGGTTCACGTAATACCCAAAGAACCCGGACTCACGACTCAGTGGACTGAGCCGGTGACCAGGTTGAAGGACATGATTGTTGACAAAGTAGTGAATGTGGGGGTAGGAAAACAAGTTGCAAAAATGAGGTCTGGGTTCAAGCCCAGGGATAGCCTGACAGTTTACCAAGCACCTCCTACAACCGGAGGATGGCAGCCCCGAAAGTCCTTTGCCGACGAGGCAGTCCGCCGACGCTGTATGGCGCCTGCACGCAAACCCAGCCTATTCCTGCCGGGAGAACGTCAAACTTGAGCCATACGGCCAAACGACACGTATGCTGCTTGTTGATGAAACAGCACGTGCACAAAACGCAAATATTATTCCTCCAAGAATGTGTCTTTTTACAGTACACTCAGTACTGCCTATCCAAAGGCAAAAGCAACCAATGCGAAATACGCGGCATTTACAGGACTCCTACTATGTTCTGCGCCCGTGCTAACGTATTGTGTGGAACCAACGCCGTATGCCCCGAGTGGTTGCCGTCAACGTTCCATTGCATTCTCAGAGACTTGGTGAGACACATAATACAAGTAGTACACATGCTCAAACAGTCCCTTGACACTTCTGGGTCCACACTGCGGATGGTAATGATTTGCGACCGAACACACACACAGAGCGACCTCAAGGGCTTTGATGCATTGGGGAATGTGTGCGTGTGTGTCCAAGACTGCACGACAGGAAGGAACAGCATGACCAAACCGGGTCGATGTCAACGACTCCAGCAACTTCCAGGCTCATTATTTTCTGGTTTAGGACGGGTCTATAGAGTCGTGCTTGGGTTGGTTTGGGGCTGGTGTGATCCGGGTAAAGTGGGGGTGGTCTCAAGGTTTCATGCGCCACCATTTGGTCAGAGGCATCTCAAGTTCCTCTTTCACTTGAGAGGCTTGGCGCCACGGCGTCACGTGAAGTGTTGGTGGCTTCCTAGCATGAACGAGACAAAGAAGATACGTGGAAAAAAGCCTCGGTGGGAAAGGGAGGCAGCCGGTCCCGTAGGACACTCGGCAAGTAAAATTATGTTTAATTGGAAGCGCGGTATATGCTGATATATGCAACATACACTTCATGGTCTTGACTAGCTCCCTCCAACTTCGCCAAAATGCAAATGTCGGCCATCAAAGTGAAGCACATTGCCGACACTCCAGCTTGCCATGCTGGGATACTTGCAATACTTGGGGATGCTTGGGCTGTGGCGGCATGAGGACCACTGACAGGCCAGTGAACAACAATATCCTCTGGAGGTGGACTTAGGAGTCGTTTCTGTTTTGAACTGCTGACCAGGGTCAAACCTCGACTCCGACAACTCCAACCTCAAGCGAATCACCAGTCCAGCAATGCAAAGCGCTGAATCACTGGCATGTATCACTGCAGCCCGACAAACTATTGTGAACCCTTCAGGACCAAATGCCGTGCCACACTTTGGCCTATCCAGTGTTGAAACTTGGGCCAAGGCCAAAGTTGCGGTTCGGCCTCGGGTGCCGAGCCCGCGTCACGGGTCGGCATTCGCAGCTCGGAGAGCGCCGTCGGCACTTCCGGCACTGCGCTGAGTGCTCGGCACCGAGTGGAGCGCAATACGCCGTTTAGCCTCACAACTCGCAGCTCGGGATGCAATCGCACAAGCATCCCACTCTCCTCAAGAGACGAAGAGACGATTGGCGAAAGCTGCACTGGCAAAGCGCTGCAGCGATGCAAAACGCTGGGCGCATTGAGACCAAAGCCTCTGTGGCGGGCACAGGGAGCCTTCCAGTCCGGCAAGCGCTTGAGTAGCTTGAGTGGACATTCCCAGAAAGCGCGTGCTTCAAAGTCCGCTAAACCAAGTGACTTGAAATGACTTGAATCCGGGCTGGGCCTTCGGAAGTATTCGCTTTCAACTACGGCTCATTCAGCGTCGCAAACAACCTTGCATGTAACAGAGGAATCGGATCAAGCACCGGCGGGAGCGCATTGAGTACATCATGTCAAGCCTGAGACGCACAGTTGCCATGAAGTCGTAAAACATAAAAAGCTGCAAATGTACCATGCCAACAGGAGCTGAAGAGGGCCAGCAGAAATGCCACGACAACTGACGTGCGCGCATTTGCCAATGTTGCAATTCTAGACATCCCAAACCCTAACTCTCAATAACTCCCATTCAATCCCAACATGGGTATCGGCAAACACATGCCGTGCTACACAAACAACCGAATTCGATGGACGAATTTGCCATAAGAAGCGTGGCTGAGCTTTTGCACAAACAGGACCATATGTTTTGGCTCACTGGACGTCCACAAAGGTGGCACCAGCCGCTAGAATCCAGCTTCCTTACAAACCAGTCCGAACCAAAATGCTGCAAAATGCTCCAAACCAAACCGGTCATTTGACTTGGCACAGCATTTGCATCACAGCAAATTGAGTCTTTGGACATCCCACATCGCTAGGGCTTGCCGCAGCTCCTCGGCGTTTTTTTCCCTTTCTGGAGATGCGCGGTTCAACACACAGCCAAAGCCCTGTGCGCCACTCCTTTCTCCCCGCCAGTGAAGATCTGTAGGCTCGTCTCGCATCCTCTGATTGGCACGAAGACTCGCAAGGCTCTTTGCCGCCAAAGATCCTGGAAGTCCGTCACCAACCCGTCGTGCGCGCTCTCCCAGACAAGCGCACCTCCGTTGTTCCCCAGGCACAGTCGCCCACAGGCCTGTGGATGCGACGTAGGCCCAAAATTCACGCTTTGTGCTTCACGACCGGAGCAACCGGAGCGCGAGCAAAAGGGAGACGCTGGAGGTCGACTGCGCTGTCGTCGCTGCGCAGAATTTGCAGCCCGCAGCTGGAGTTGGGCGAAGGGCGAGGGCAGGCTTTAGCTAGAGTTTGGGCTTCAGCCCGGATGCGGCCGCGCCCCGAAAGAGAAGCTGGGCTGTCGATGAGACAAGACGGCGGCGACGGGGAGCCCAGAGTCACCACGGTCAGAGCATCCTGAACGGAGACGAGCTCGGCCACACCAAGTACTAAGATAGTAGCCTTGCGAGACGTTCAGGGCCACATCCTTTGGGTGGCAAAACATGTCTTCTTCTTACAGGGCGCGCCCTTCTCCGCTGTTTGGCTTCTGAGCTCATCTATTGGGGCAGGTCAGAAGTTGGGCGGGCCAGTAATGGGCATTGTGGAACTCATTGAGGCATCACCGCATCGCACTTCAAAGTACCATCAACTCAAACTCCTCAGTCCGCGTCCGTGCATTGTCCCGGACAAAGGAGCCACGTCTGCCATTTCCGTTTGTGAGCCCGAGTCCGAGTCCGCAGAGTCCGCGCCCAAAGAAGACCTGCGCGCTTCCAAATTCTCGCTGAAGCCTCTGTTTGCATCGGGAAGGCACTGTCTTCTTGGCGAGGACCACACGACATATTCTGAACTGTCGGCGACTGGCGGCGAGTTGTGAGTGAGTTTTTGGGAAATCGGACCGATCGACAGGGAGGCCACTGGAGGCCTGTGCAGAGACAGCGTTGCAAAGCGGCAAGCTGAGTCAGCGAGCTTCAGATTGAGGCCAAACGGGCGCATCAAAAGCCATGGCAAGCTGTCACCTTTGCAGCAACTGCAAAGAATGTCTGCAAGATGGAA